GGTCCCATCTTGGCATCCCTAAATACATGGTGCTGTATTATAATTTGCAACCAAATGGGGCCCATGATTTTGAGAACAACCCAAATTCCATGGAGCAAAAGCGAGGTTTCATTCAGGTGCCGGGTTCAGGGCTGGGAGTTCTCAAAACCATTCCGATACGATCCGCAGAAAGGACCCCCAGAGTCCTCCTCCTATGATTCCCTAGGGCCTTAAACCCTAAACCCCATTAAAACCTAAACCCTAAAGTGTAATTTCTATGTTCTCTTCCATTGTCCTTAAACCCTGAATTGTAGTTCCATTTTCTTTTTCATTATCCTTAGAGTCTCAGACTCTAAGCCCTAAACCCTAAATTGTAGTTTCCATTTTCTTCTCCAAATCAGGGTTTGAATAGAATGGCAAGGAAAATTGAAAGTACAATTTAGGGTTAAGGGGGACCCGAATAGAGACCCCAAAATACTATAGTCCTTGTTATAAGGCCTCCGGAAATGCTACTCTAAACCATACACCCTGAACCCTAATTTTGGGAAACCCCCACATTTTTGGTTCCACACAAGCTCAAGTTCTTCCCTGCGCGCTTTTCACGGTTCAGGGTTTAGGGTCTAGGTAAGCTTTAAGCTGTAGGGTAGCAGTCTACTAGAGGGTAGTTGGGAGTTTCTCAAAATGGCTGGCCCTCAGGGACTATATAGCGCTTGTTTTGAGCAATTCACCAAAATGTGGGCTTTGCATACTCCAATTAAAAGAGTTATCCGACTGTCACTGACAGCATCATTATCCAAAGTCTTCTCTAGACCCAGGCAAGATGCATGTCACGACCAATAGCCTGGGTTGCTGTTAAGGAACTGAATTTAGGTGACTATATTGGGGAAACCCTATTGTTACTATTGTTTTTTATATATACCCATTATGGTAAGTTCATGTAAATTCCTTAACAGCAATCCAGTAGCAGCTCAATACTTTCTGCCAACCGCATCTTGGCCAGAAATGTCAACAACACTGTTGCTCCCATCGTTGCCACATACCTGCAGACGGAAGGAAAGGAAGCAGAACGGAAGCGTTCCAACACGTACTACGCCTGTTTGCTGAGCCATGCACTTGCACGGAAGACGCGACATGATCCATGCAATTAGGGGTCTGCATGATTGGAATAGGAACCCTAGTCCCAGACCCTAAGCCCGAAGGAAGCCCTGAACTAGGCCCAGGGTCTAGGGTTTAGGGTTCAACACCTATGATATAACACTCCTTACGCTGGCAAGCAACAAGCAAATGATCCGAGCTATGTGGAGCCAAAGGCCCCCTTGGCGTTGAGCTGTTCCTTACACGGAGGACCCTAAACCCTAAACCCTACGTCCTAATCCCAAGACCCTAAACCCGATATCCTAAACCCTAAACCCTATATCCTAATCCCTACAGAGGCTTAGGGCTCAGGTTTCTTCTAGCCATCAGTTGGGCTATCGATGGCTTGTGATGGGGTTTAGGGTTCAGGGTTTATGGTGGGTTGTCAAATCTTTTTGTGGGTCCCAAAAACGAACTAAAAATTTTTCCCCCTTACAAGTAGACTCACAAATCTCATAAATTACACTTGTGGAGCTTTGGGCTTACATGGGCGATATATATATATATAATATTACCCAAATGTTGCAGGAAACACACTCTACAGGCAGGGTTCTGATAGATTTCCTCCATGAGTATGCAAGAAAAGCCTCATAACAGCACCATAAACGAGTATATATGCTGGTGGTGCTGTTCGGGATAACCAGCATGGAGGTAGCTGCGCGCAGTGCCAACGCAAATGGCGAATCTTGTGGGCTTGAAATGAGTGAGCCGATGTCCAGGTTCTGCGGGTTTGACATGAAGCAAATATACGCAGCTCGGGCAGCTTGCGGCCACGTGTGCTCCACCCGGTCCAGGAACTCGTAGATGCCCTCTGCCCAGGCGTGTGTCACGAAAACATCGCACTGCAGACCGTGAGGATGCTTTAGCAGTGCCCAGCTCATGTTGCCTGCTTGGGCTGTGGAAGGCTTAATGAGTTGATCCGTAACGGAATAGACAGAAGGTCCCACAGTCAAGTCTGACGGATCGAATCTGTCACGCTCAGTAGGCTGAAGTGAGCCTTGCGACACGGCGTGCATCACAAGTCGACGAAACTGCTTCAGATCCTCAAGGCCTGGGATGTGTGTTTTACCTAGGAGAGCCCGACCAACACTGACACAATCTGACACATATGGGGGGTTTCCCAAATTTAGGGGTACCCTTGATGGGGTCCCTAGAATAACGATTATAGTATTTTGGGGTCTATATTGAGGTCTCCCTATTGCGGGAAACTACCATATGAGGTGACATGACCTGAACGTTGTGTGGCTTCTTGCGTATCGGAGCAGCTGACGCACCATGCGTCCATTGGTACTGACCGATGCAACAGCTTCCCATCTCCACATGGACTAGGAGATAAAAGCTCGTGGTCGCCAGGCTTCAAGGCCATGATTCTTCCTTGGCTTCACTTGCAAGTCCTCATCTATGTTTAAACTTCTTGTTCCGTAGATTTGACGAGCAAAAGCCCGAGGTTCTCGTACTGCGCAAGCTCCAGCTGGTTAGGAGAATGCCGGAAACACCCACAATCAGAAGCGAAGCCCCCGCAACTGCAAAAGAGCTCACATCCGGAGCGCAGATTGAAGCAGGGTAGGAGGCGCAGCAACGAAATGCGAACCAGGATGGGTCGAAAGAAGGATGGCAACTGCCGCCCTCGTAGGCGGCTTGGGCAGCCTCATGCCACTCCTTACTAGTTTACTCGGAGTTACTATGGCATGAATGAAAGGAAACGATCATAGAAACTGCTATGTCTTAGGTGGTTATATGGTTGTATGGGATTATACAAGGACGATTAATTAATAAAATAGGAATGGAAAGTTGAATGGACAAGCACCTGCGACATGAAAGGAAAACAGGACTCTTACAGGAACGTAGGGCTCATAGGGCTTAATTGCTGGTTTCCGTAGGGAATGCAGAAGCATAGAACATGAAATAAGAACTACTGCAGGGTTTGTAGGGTTTAGAGTTTGGGGCTCAAATTTAGGGTTCGCGGTTGCTAATTAGTAAGGACTGAAAATGGAACCTACCTTTTGAACGGGAGATTCTTTAGGGACGGCTGCAGGGAGGATCAATTCCTCCATTGACTGCTAAGGTCCAGTATACCCCTAAATAACCTTAGTTTCCAGTTAAGTCTCCATATCCTTTCCCATTTGATTCTCCATAATTGGGAGTAGTATCCCTGAACCCTAAACCCTATTTCGCATAGGTAAGATTCTGGATCCCTCTCCGCCAGGAGAATGCTACAGTTATTTGCGTCCGGCCGGAAATCTGCCTCGTCCCTGCACGGCGTCATCCTTTCAGGGTTTAGGGTTGCTTGGGTCCTGCCCTCACCCATTAAGGGTCTACCGTAGGGGGCATATTAAGGCTCTATGCAGTTATATTATACTTGTTCTCCAACTGGAAATGAGTGTGTCCTCTTCAAGGTTTTATAGCAGGCGTTGGCAGGGTAGGACTTGCAACACTCCTGGCTCCACGAGATGTGTTGAAGGGTGTCCACAGAGCAGCTGCCGTTTCCATGAGCCAACTGCACTGCTTTGTGCCACGCTGCACCCTGCTCCGACAAGTAGTCGGCACAAGTGTTTGAGATCCAACGCCCGGCCAAAGACGCACAGCCTTCTTGGTCACTACAGTCACAGCGGGCATTGTTCCATCTGCAACCGTGTCTAGTGCAACTAGCATTCTCAGGCTGGTCAAAAAGGACGCAGTAGTTCTGTCGAATCTTGCCCGGCTGGAAGTCAGCCTCGTCTCTGCAGGGCGTCATCCTCTTGGCAACTTTGTTGCAGGCGTTGGCTGGGTAGGACTTGCAACACTGTCGGCTCCACGAGATGCGTTGAAGGGTGTCCACAGAGCAGCTGCCGTTTCCATGAGCCGACTGCACCGCTTCGTGCCACATTGCGTCCTGCACCGACAAGTGGTTGGCACAAGTTGTGGAGATCCAACGCCCGGCCATGGACGCACAACTTTCTTGGTATCTGCATTCGCAGCGCACGCCTTCCCATCTACAAGTATGTCGAGTGCAACTGGCATTATCAGGCTGGACCGCAAACTCGCAGTGCTCGAACACGGTGTTGCTCGGCTGGAAATCAGCCTCGTCCTTGCACGGCGTCATCCTCGAACCATCGGCACCTGAACATGAAACCCTATAGTCTACACCCGCAAACCAGACCCTGAGCCAGAAGGTCTTCAATCGATTTAGGGAGTAGGGTTAAGGGATAAATTAAAGCTCTATATACCCTAAACTCTATACGCAAAACACTATAACCAAAGCCCTGAACCCCAAACCGCAAATTTGAAGCCCTGAATCCTATGCCGCCTATGCCGCAAAACCCACAAACCCTCTCCACAACATCCAAACCTCTCAAAGGGCTCCACAGTACAGATGCAAGGCATGCCAGCACGCTGGAGGCCTGCATGTAATCCCCTCCCCCTAATAATAAACCCCCCCACCCCCCTAATAATAAACATTCCCAATATATTATAATATACCANNGGGGGTGGGGGGGTTCATTATTAGGGGGAGGGGATTAGAAATGAACAGGATTTCAGGCTTTGGATGAGGGTTTAGGATTCAGGGTTTAGGGTTCATGGTTTAGGGTTTACGAGTAGGGCTTAGGGATTTAGGATTAGGCTGTAGGATTAGGGCGCCAGATTTAGGATTTATCGGATTAGCACGTACAAGCTAAGGAAGTTGCCAGGGAATGAGTATGATTCGTCCTCCACACTGCTGTATCAACACGGGGATGTTGACTCTCTAGGTTTACGGTTGGTTTCAACTGTAGTAGTTTGCTAAAGTCACCGGTCCACCCAAAGGCTTGGAACAGCCCAAATTGTGAATCTGTATATTGTAAGTACGCGCTAAGAAGAGACGGACAGACAGACAGGCAGGCAATACAAACCGACCGACCGACTGGCCGACGGACAGAATTCCCCTTTCAGTAATTAAGGGGCTGTCATAACTCCAATCTATTCATTGGGTCCTTCCCTTGCAGTAACTGCTTTTACTGGGGTTTCATCACGGGGCTGTTATAACTCCTATTGCCTGTTGTGGGAATAGTTGCTATAATAAGCACCTGCTGCCACAAGTAAAGCCCTGCTCAGGTAAATCCATGAATATGCTGAACCTTCCCTGTGGGACTACTGAGGGCTTGGCTCTGGATATCTGTGCAGAACATGTTTAGACCAGCACATCCTTTCTGATGGGCTACGCAAAAAACCCAGTACGACTGCCCAAGTTGCCCTTGAGGCAGGCTGAGTTGTCCATGAAAGATTTGCATGGATCATGTCGATGGCCTACATCCTACAATGTTGTGCTTTCGAAGGGGTGCCCTGATAGAAGCACAAAACATGCGAATACTTTAAAAAAAGAGTGGCACTGGAGTGTCCAAGTCTAAACCCTTCTGGACCGCAATCAGGCCCAATACCCCTAACACTAATCAAAAAGACCGTCTTTCCACATACTTCGTGGGGGTCCATGCTACCTTATCCCTCAACCTGAAACCATAAACTCGAATGGCCAGCTGCGACTGTGAAGTTTGTGGGAAGAGGATCTGGAGCCCACGGCCTAGACCCCCTAAGGGATCCAAAAAATGGAAACCCCCCAAAATGGCTCCATTACTACATTGGGGAACCTAGGGGATTATTAAGAGGTTCCATTTGTATTCTTTGCAAACTACCGTAGAATTAGGAAACACAGAACTAAGCCAAACACACATGTTTATGTTCATGGGGGCCGAGAGTGCTAAGGAATCGAACCAACCCTCTTAAATCCTACAACGGGTAGCACAGGCTAAGCCTTTATGCCAACCCTAAACCCTGAACCCTAAACCCTAACCCCCTAAACCCTGAAGATTAGGGTCCAAAGACTTGATCGTTTGGAGCTTCGGGTTGGGGCTGGCCCAATCTTGCCCGGAAGCACGGCTCCTAACCTGGGAGCTACAGTCTAAACTCCTAGTATCCCCCTTTTAACCCTCTATAACACCCCGCCCCCCCTATACAATCCCAGACCCCCTAAAGGATTCAACAGATGGAACCCCCCAAATAGCTCCATTACTACATCGGCAAACCTGGGGGATTATCAGGGGGTTCCTTTCTTTGGAGCCTTTAGGGGGTCTCGGATCCTTTTTTAAAAAATAAATCCCCTTTAAAGAATTTAGACTCATGTCAGACAGTTTAGGGTTTAGGGAGTTAGACTCCAATTCTCAGGATTGATGGGTGTAGGATTTAGGGTTGTCCAATCCTCAATTCTTCAACGTGGATGATGACTTCCTGGACCTCGATTCCAGAAACTCTACAGAGGAGCAACAAGTCTGTATGTTCCCGAGAAGAGATTTACATCCTAGCTGCTAGCCAGAAAATGAAATCTAAATCTCTATTCTTACTCCTGTTTCCACCTCATTCCCAATTTTCCCCTTTAATTGTCCATTATTCCGATACCTCAACCCTTTATGGTCCTGCGGTAACCCAAATATTGACTGTAGCCCCAACCAGAATTCAGAGGCCACCTGGCTGGTACCAGTCAAGCTCATCACACCATGAGCTCAGGCGGGCCCCAACATCCACAAGTGATCAGGCTTTAGGGCGTTTTAGGGTTGAGGGTTGTAGGGACTAGGGCTTAAGGTCTAGGGTTTGGGAAAAGGAGCACATATACATTTCACGATGATTCACCACATCACTTTTGCTCGCTATCAGATGGTGAGGGGTCATGTGAGGCGAAGCAAGCTTATCAGAGGCTTGAGATTGACGACGCATAAACTGATGTAATATAGGGGCTGGGGTAATCACCAATATCATGTTGAGGTCTTTTTAAGCTAGCCTTTACTACAAGTAGATAAGGAATACCCTGAACCCCCAAACCCTGAGACCGTAGCATTGGTACTTAATTCGGCCCGTACGTTAGGGCTGCGGACCTGTAAGAGTTGTTTAAGTGGGTGCTCACAATTTTTCCGGTTTAGCTGACCTTTGATATGCAGAAGGGGTTCATGATACTATTGAACTGCTCCTAGCCATGAACCAAACGCTGCAGGAAGTATATCTTGCATGATGCTGTGCACCCAAAACAGGGTAGTTTCCCAAAATAGGGGGACCCCAATATAGACCCTAAAATACTATAGTCCTTACTATTGGGACCCCCAAAAAGATACCCCCAATTTTGGGAAACCCCCACATGGGAATGTAAGTGATCGAGCGTTCTCGGGATCATGCAGGACCTTAGCTACCAACAACGTCTATCAGCAGATGTCCAAGACCCTCTGGGGTTGAGCCCACATAAGGCCTGCGATGGGGTCAGGAAATAGTTTTAGTAGCATAGGATTTGAGTCAGAAATGATGCTATCCTGATGAAGTTACTCCTTTAAAGGGGCCCCCTACTAGCGCACCCCTGATCCAGAGGATCGTGATTTTGGGCTTAGGGTTTGGGGTCTTGGGAAGGGGGTAAGAGCGTGGGCTTTGCGACGGGGTGTTCAGGGTTTATGGCTGTCTTGGGGGGTTGTTGCTCCCTGGTAGATGCAAACACCCAAAGCCTAGACCCTGAAACCCTACCCAGCATATGATAGGCAACTATCGGGAAGGGGTTCTACCGTGCCAGATCCTGGCCCGAAGGAAACTTTGCTGGCTTGTGACTTCGGAGTTTAGCAGGGGATTTCCCAAAATTAGGGGTACCCTCTTGGGGGTTTCCATAGTAAGGACTCTAGTATTTTGGGGCCTATATTAGGGTCCCCTTATTTTAAACTACCAGCATTGATGGTTCTCGAAACTTGGCTTTGGGATTCACAGGTCTTGAACCCGCACGTGCCAGCATAGTTGGAGGATTGGAGGGTCCTTTAGGGTTTAGGGGTTTCAGGTTTAGGGGTTAGGGGAGTTAGGGGTGTCAAAAAGCGGTACCAAACAGTGGAGGCTTCTCAATCTCATTGGGTCCCTTCACCACATTCGACAGTCATAAAACCCTGAACCCTAAGTCGGAACTATGAACCCCGAACCCTGGCATCTTCATGTGGATGGTATATACCTAAACACTACACCGCCCCTAAACCCTAAACCCTAAACCCTAAAACCCTAAAACCCTAAACATAGAACCCTACAAGCCCAACTCAGGGGCCATAGTCAAGGCCTAGCAGGCAGGTGGACAGGCTGGGACCCATGGTTAGGGTTTAGGGGTTATGGTTTAGGGGTTTAGGGTTTATGGTTTAGGCGTTTAGGGGTTATGGTTTAGGGGTTAGGGTTTATGGTTTAGGGTTTATGGTGCAGGGATTATGGTTTATGGTTTAGGGTTTAGGGGTTCAGGGCTTGTGGTTTAGGGTAATACAGGGGGTCGTTACAAATATCATTGCGAGGTCTAATTGAGGTAACCCTATACCACAACCAATATTTGTACTTGTTGAGGCCCCTATAGACCTCTCTATACCCTACCCCTTTTGGGGTACCTAATTTCGTATGTATAGCTTTCTATGCATAAAGTTAGGTATCCTGGAAAAGGGATAGGGGACAGGGGTCGGGGTAGTCTCTCCCTTACCCCTTAAACCTAAGCCCTAAAACAGCATGTTTGATACACCTTTGTACTGACAGGACAAATACTGGTTCTACTGCCATATGAGCCGTAGTCTAAACTCCTAAAAAGGAGGGTTTATACAGGGGATTAGATAGGGGAGTATTTCAAAGCTTATGAACCCTCAACCCTAAACCCTATACCCTGGGAGTTTGGACTATCGCTCATGCCAGGCTCTCCCTCTAAAAGAATGCAGTCAAGAAAGTAAGGGCTCGTAGGCGCCGGTTGGAAGACGTTGGCTTCTTCAAAGTTGTTGAGGGTTTGTTGTGTGCGTTTTGGAGGACTTAACTGCTTGTTGAAGCATGTTTACACCTTGTTGGGCTCTTTCGGCTATACCTTTTCCCCCAACCCTCATCCACTTGACCGTCTGCTTTATAAGGTGAACTCCTTCAATGGTTGGAATGCGCCTC